CGGTAATAGTTCTTCTACATTTTAGAGTCTTTTCTGGATTTTGGCAGCTTTTTACTCATTTTCAGTCCAGTATCTGAACCTTTGTCGTCTACTCTGCTAAGATTCAGCCATCGGTACTTAAAGCTAATGCTTCTTGTCAATGCMAACGTTTGCGTTAGCATTATGCTCCTCACTGGCTGACTACTGCCAACTAGTGGAGCCTGAAGAACTACTGATCAAGATTAAATTAAAATTGGGTTGGATTAAAATTAAACTCCAGACTTACCTGAGGCCAGTTTGGGCAGGTACTTCTCCTTCTGTGCTTTGTTTCCAAAAAGCAAAATCCCCTTGAACCCGATGGACTGGTGAGCGCCGAGCGTGATGCCGACGCCCAGATCCTCACCGCCGACGATCTCCACCAGGCGAGCGTACTGAAGGAAGAACAGACACTCAACTCAACCTGCCTGATCCAAACACAGAACCACCACAGATCGAACCAATCTGCTGCACCTGAGTGTTCGAGAGGCCGAGACCGCCGAGGTCAGCTGGGACCTGCAGCCCGAAGGCCCCCATCTCCTTCAGGCCCTCCATGGTGTGATCCTCCACCTTCTCCAGGGAGTCGTTCTTGGCAGGATCGTTCACTTCCTGTTAGCGTGGCGAGGAAACGTGGAGGGGGTTTGAAACAAATAAACCTTGAAGATGAAACAGTTTTATTCAAAATGGGTTTCAACAAACCTGAAAGAACTTGCTGACTGGCCCCACGAGCTCCCGGAGGAACTGCTCCTGCTCCTCATTGAGGGCTGCAACAAAACAAACAACTCAGTTTTACAGAGATCCTCCATGAGACGTCAGGTTGTTTAGTTTGTTTTACAGGTGAAGGTGAATCACCTTTAGGAAAGGGAAACACTTGAGCTGTTGTAATCTGTCCCTTGAACATGTTGACAGCAAATGACTTGGATTCCTGTGGAAAAATACAAAATTATCAAGATTAAAGCTGGTAAGCAAACTTTTAGAATGTCGCAAAAAGGGAAAAAATAAATAATAAAAGCATGAATTAGTGGTGTTGTCCGGAGATGTAGAGAAAGAAACGTAATTCTCTTTGCTTTACGGGTATATCCTGTTTTATTTGGCATCATTGAGAATAAATAATTTATTCTCGGTAGAGCCATCATTTTAATAGAGGCAACTCTTCCCATGAGGGATATGGGTAAAGAACTTGTTTTTATTTTGCCGTTTCCATCTACCTTTCCTAATTCGATACTTCAAAATGCACAGAGAAAAATGTTGATGGAAACAGGACTATTGTCTCAGTTTCAAGAAAAAAAA